ACTCAGCATCCACAGGAGTGCAGAATTACAAGGAAACACCTCCCTTTTCACAGTGGCTCAAATCAGGCCTGTTCCCACTCCCCACAAGCTGGTTGCATTGCCAGGATGACATTTAAGATGTTACATTTGAGATGCCATGGTGAGGAACACAGTGCAGACCCTGCAGCTGCAGCCCTGCATGGCAGTACTCACCCTGCTTGTGTAAGGACCCATTACAGCTGCAAGAAGGCTGAGTATAGAGATGTAGTTGTATTTGTTAAATAAAATGTGGACAGTCCTGCGAAAGGTCCACAAACACAGAGACTGTACCCATGTTACCAAACAGCTCTCTGTACATTTGGTTTGTGTTACGCTCTGCATGCTCTTTGTATCGTGTGTAGAAGCACTGCCACTGGCTGAGCATGTTTCCGCTGTGGAGGTGTATGGGAAAAAACATGAAACTCTACCGAGGTCACATTCACATTTTCTTCTTCCTTGTTTAGTACCTCCATCCCAAACCAGTATCACATTAATGCAATTGCCTTTTCTAAAGTGAAATCTGAGCAAGAGATTTCTCTCCCGCTCTCAGAGCTCTCGACGGAGCGACGACGACACGTTAGAGGAACAGATCAGGAGAACAAGCGAGGATTCACGAGCCCTGAGGGAATTAATGGAGGGAGAACGGGGGAAACTGAGGCAGAGTTTGGAGGAGCTGCAGCGACTGCACAGCCAGGTTAGCAATTCCCACACTTTACATGTGGTCTTGTAACACCAGTGTTCATCCTCCAAGACATGCCTGCCATCGAAGAGATCAACATGATAAATGACCCAGGAGGATTTAGGCCAAAACCACTTATGGCTGGATGAGGGAGACCTTGTTAAACCCAGTGCAGAGGATTTATGCATTTAGAATGGGAGTTTTTGACAGGTTGTCTGGGGTCCATCCCAGGCATTGTCTCAAACAGCCAAACTTCCTTTAAACCTTTCTCCCAATCTGCTTTTCAGCCAATCTGTGTTACTTAAGTTCATCTCAGCAGAAGACCCCAAAGTACAAGTCTGCTTGATATGGGGTACTGGAAACCCAAAGGTTTCCAGTCTGACCTAGTCTGCTTGCACTAAGCCCTTGTGAAAGGCACGTACACCCACTGGATGGATATAACAGTGCTGCTCTGCTGTGCACAGAGCAGGGTTTGACCCCTTGCACAGCAGCATCACAAAACCCTCAGAAGTGCACACCCAGAGAATCCTAATCGTGGCCAGCTTGGCACCCCAGGGCCAACAGGGCAAAGGCAATCTCAACAGCAACAAATGATCCAGCCCTGAAACCAACTGCACACCAAGGCACAGAATCCCACTGCACCCACACTGAATGTAGCACTGCCCACGTCTGAGGTCCTGTGCCAAGAGCAGCAAAAGGAGAGAGGCACCCAAGGAGATGCTCTGCAAGCCCTGTCTCTGTGGGACAAGACTCCAAATGCTGGGGAGGATCCAGAGGCTGCAGCAGAAGCATCCTCTGGTGAAGGTGCTTGTGCAGCCCCAGCTGCACTGGAGCAGGGAATGGGATTAACGCTGGTCTTGGCAGTGGTGCTGTATTGCCCTTTTGATGTACCCCTTTGGAGAATAAATAGGAAAACATCCCTGTTCAGAAAGTCAGCCCAGCCTGGGGTCTGACAGCTTTGTGAAGGGCTGTGGGAGCTCCTACCATGGCACAGAAGAGAAAATAGTGAGAGCATCATTAAATACCCCAGCAGTGACAGCTGATGTGTGTGGGGGTGGGAATGGTCCTGCTGACAGAGCAGCTGGTCAGAGACAGAGTGGAGAAGGGGAGCAGCCCTGGAGCCCATCCTTCTCTGAGGACTGCTCCTCTCAGCCATGTGGCCACCACAAGAGACCGTGCTGGGGGTCCAAACTTCTGCCCCAGTGAGACACGAGCCCAGACACTTCTCTGGCTGTGCTGCCATGGTCCTGTGCATCACCCCCAGGTTCCCCTTGCCCTTAAACACACCTGAGGTGGAGGAGACAAGGGCTTGATCACTGCAACCTGGCTGTGCTGACCCAGACCTTTGGAGGCTCTTTCACACATTTTGAGTGACCACCTTCACACCACCCTGCGTGTCAGGATGCAGCACCTCACACATGAGGCCTTGACAGGACACCAGGAAGGAGCAGCACTTGGTTGTTTTTTGCTGTGACTGATCTTCCCAAACTCCCCAGCCAAGAACGACTAGAAGACCAGGCCTGGATTGGATGTCTGGAACCCTATCTCTGCTTTTAGGTGTCCCTGACTACCAAAGCTCTGAATATTTAGTGAACAAAGGGAAAACTGCAGTTCTGTTTTCTTCCCACGCCTCTATGTGATATGAAGAAAGATGGGGCATAGCTACAAATGCAGCAGACATCGCTCTTGGAGAAGCCCTCCAGCCTCGCACAGCAAGTACACATCTCCCACAGCTTTTGCCTCTAACCCATCCTTGCACTTGCTCCAGCTTAATAATTATTCTCACCTCCCACTGAAGAGGCAACATCATCTTCTGTTCAGGTGCTAAAGAAAATCGATGCACATGGAAATCTGGTCCAACCCGGGGGAGCAGTGCTCTGCTGCCTCCTCATCCCTCTGTGCTGTCACTGCTATTGATACAATCAAAGGGAAACTCCTTCTAAATGGCTTCTGGGACCTCATAGCACCACACACACATTCACTGCTCCTGCCTGAGAGCAAGGTGAGCTGGTGGAGATGGGAGTCACCCCTGCCTCTCTCTACACTGCAGAGTGGTTTCACCTCTTCTCCCTGTCCGTCTTCTCCCTCAGGGCATCCCATTCTTACCTGAAGCACAGATAAAACTAGTCAAAATGCCAAACCATTCCCCAAACGCTGTGTTTTGGGCCTCTTGATCCTCTGTCCGCTGGGATTTCTGCAGAAGTGCTCAGCACCTTTCACCACTGCTCTCTGTCCCAACCCTGAGTGCACCCCACGGGGGGGCTGTGGGAGGGCACGGCTCAGGAACAGCTCCCCAGTTCCCTGGCAGCCCTGGGACACCATGGGGAGTCTCTGCACACAGACAGGGTGTGTTCACACCCTCCTCCCCCCGGCCCAGCCACGCCCCGCTAACGCAGATCCTCCCACGCCCTGGATGTGATGAGCCCTTTTTGACTGTCTGCCCTCTATTTAAAGATTTCTTTGAAGATTCAAGCACTACTGAGCTGCATTTAGAGACAGGAGGTGGGTCAAACGCTGGAAGGGTTTTCAGGTGGTGGAGTAGCGTAACAGAGCATGTGTGTGCCCTAGACAAAGAAATTAAACGTGTATGAAATATTGCAAAGCTCTGCTAATGCGATCCTTGCATGATTTCACACCCTATTAACTCACTCTGCACAGGACCAAAACGATAGATCATTTCTCAGACTATTTAAGACTCCACACATATTTTAAAGTCTAATTAAAATTGTAAGATGTGCCAGTAACACCTTCCATGGCGTGAAAGGGAATTTTCACATCCTTTGTCTACAGCTTCGTTCTACAGGAGATGTAATGGCCCCTTCAAAAAATCTTATTTGCTGCTAAATTATGTTAGCAATAATTTAACCCTGGAAAGATCAGAATTACAACAGGCAGGCTCAGAGGATGCATTCACAAGACAAACTGCTTGGAGAGGGGCAATATTTTAGTGCCGATGCCACAGTGACAGCAAAGTCACAGATGAGTCCTGCTCTGCTTTCAGTGCTGTTTCTGCCTGGTACTGAGGCTGTCCTAGTGACCATCTTGCTCAGACCAGCACTGCCAGCATCCCAGGGAAAGCCAGCACGTTCCATGGGGTGTTGCAGCAGCACTAACAGCCCCCTCCCAGCAGACACAGCTTCTCCTACAAGCAGGGGAGCTCAGCCTCCAGCTTGGCCCTTGTGGGTTTTTTTCCACACACAAACACACTCGTGGTGAATTTGCCTGAGCAGCCCTGGGTTTCACACCCTCCCTCTGCCCACAGGTCACGCTGCTGAGCGTGGAGATGACGACGCTGAAGGAGGAACGGGACCGGCTGCGAGGAGCTGCCGAAGACAAGGAGACGAGTGAGCGGCTCCTGCAGGCCATCAGGGACCGGGACGAGGCCATTGCCAAGTACGTGGCACAAACAGCCAAGGCCAGGCTGGGTCAGCAGTTATGGAGGGCCTTGGCAGGAGGTGCCTCTGGGGTGGATTTCTCCTACCCTCTGCAAATCTGTTACAGTGTGATGGAGTGAGGCTCAGCTTCACTGGAGTTGGGAAGTGCTGCCAGGAGCTTGGGAACAGGGCTGGAGATGAGAACTTCTAGAGCTGCCCCATGGCAGGATTGGGGGCATTAAGGAGGATACTGTGAACTATGTTTTTGCCATTCCTAGTGCTGGTATGAGTCACTGCAAGGAGGAGAGGGCTTCAGGGAACCAAATGGTCTGCCCTATTTGTCATATTTGAATTCTTTTGCTCTTCCAGACACACCCTGCTTTCCTGCCCATCCCCATTACAGCCCTGCTTGGGCTTCTTCCCTAAACCATTTCATTTCTCTGGTCACTCGCTCTCCTTTCCTGTTCCAGGGTCTTTTTTGCATCTCCAGTCCTGTAATTCTCTGTTTCTCCTTTAGGGATTCTCCCACTGGTTTGGCTCTTTATTTTCCCCATCCTCCTTGCAGACCTGTGCAGTTCTGCTCCCCTGTACCCTATGCCCCCCTTCCCCAGCTCTGTCCTCGGGCCTGCCAAAATGCCCTGAGCACTCTTTGCCCCAAGGAGAAACATTCCCACCCCTGTGCTCCAGCTAGAAAGGATATATATGTGGTAATCTCTTTAATAAGCAGATGGACCAGGACACCACAAGTCCATCTTCTTAGGGAAACATCTAATACTCAAGCCCCGGGCAAGAGGAGAAGCACAGGAGCATTGCAGCTCCGAAGGTGCAGGAGTTGAATCAGCCTGCACCACCCCTTCACCTTTTTTGAAGCGACCTGGCCGTCCGTGCTGCTCTGGCCCGGGTAGCTGGCTACCCAATTCCCATCGCCATCTTCTGTAACACCTCCATCTGTTGGCAAGGATCAGGAGCATCCCAGCTGCCTGCCAGGCGCAGGGAGAGGTGGTTCTGACATTTCCAGTGCGTGTGGGTTGCTGGTTGTGCCGTGGCTATGGCAACACGCTGCCATCAATCCCCTGGTGATATCCAGCCAGCAAGGGGAGCTCCGCAGCACAAGGCTGGCTGAGGTGCCCAAATCACAGCCGGGAGGGGAAGGGCACAGTTTCTCCAGTCCACTAATGACCCTGCTGGGACAAAGCACCGATAATTACGGCTGACTGTCCTGCAGCACAGGAGCCCCGGGAACGGGACAAGAGGAGTGTGCCGGTGGGGGGAGTGGAGGGTGATTAATGAGCAGAAAGTGGCAGCAAGTGAAAGCAGACAAGAGCAACTTGTTGCTGGAAGTAAAAACATCCCTCCCAGACCGAGTGGGCCGTTCCAGGCACTGAACCTCCTGGGAGGCTCGTGATATGCTTCCCACCTCACACCTCAAGGGTTAAGTCGCTTTTGTTGAACCCATCCCCCGAAAAATCCCTGACTCTGAACAGAAATAAAATCACTGCCCGAGGCAGACATCTGGTGTGGAAAATTTCTGCTTGAAGCTGAAGTTTGGCAACATGGGAAGCAATAGGAAAACAGGATCCTATAATAGGAAGTGTTAAGCAACCAGCACCTGGAATATAAACACAAATTCTCAAATTGCTCTTCTGCAGGGGAGCACAAGGGAGCTATTAGGAGGGGAGGAATTAGCTACAGTTAATAAGATGCAATTATTTCCCTCGAAAATGTTTGCAAGGAAAGATGGTCCCCAGCAAGTCATGTTACAGCTTCCCATCACACAGCAGTTAATTGAAAACTTAAGCTTTGTGCTCACCTGTTGTGCTCCCAGCATGGTGAGCAGCACTTCCCAGCTTGGGCAGCTTACTCCATCCTGCAGGATAATTCCTTTCCACTAGTCAGGAGCAGCTGGAACATCTCAGCCACTCAGGGCCCTTTGGGCAACCTTGTCCATGGTGTCACAGGCCCAGTGGCCATCACATGCCTGGAAAGAAATGCAGCAGTGGTGTTCCCAAGGGCTGGCACAACCCCACTGAAACTGGGATCTCTCCTTAAAGCATGACATTTAATTCAAACAATTTAACAGTTTGTCATTCTTTAAAAGCATATGCTGTGCTAAGCTCTCTTCTTTCATTTCTTCCTTCCTTCAGTCCAAGTCCCAAGTAAAAGCAGAGTTGTGCTCTTTAAAGGTTTTGTCTGTTTGATATTGCAATTTATTGATCAAGTGATCAGACACAGATCATTTGATTTTTAGCACATACTATTTTTGTCTATGCATTAGTAAACAGGAAAAAAAGGAAAAAATATTTATATAAAGATTCTACCTCGTTTCAGATCTCTACCTTTAATGGCAGATCATTCACATTACCCAGGCACAATATTATCTTACACAGCATGCATCTGATTTTCTTTTTGTATTCTTCATAGTGTGCTTACCAGAAATCTGCTGGTTTTATAGTAATGATGTCACCAGCTTTGTCCCACTCTTCAAATTGATTGTCCAGAATCAAATGGAGATGAACAGTTTAGGATGTGAGGACTTGCCAGTGAAAGAAACTGTTGACTTCTCCTCGAGGATATGTTTAACTCTTGCTTTAAAAAAAAAAAGAAAAAAGAGAAGTCATATGCCCCAATTTCTGTCCTCCCCACAGGAAGAATGCAGTGGAGGTGGAGCTGAGCAAGTGCAAGATCGACATGATGTCCCTCAACAGCCAGCTGCTGGATGCCATCCAGCAGAAGGTGAACCTCTCGCAGCAGCTGGAGGCCTGGCAGGTGAGCAGCCTTGGCCCCACGGGGCAGGGTCTGGGTGGCACGTGGGCCCAGAGGCACCTTTGGGTGACTGTCCCCCCTCCCTGTGGGTTTGCTGCGTTCTCAGCCCGTAGGTTGGGGGGTTTGGTTTGGGCTCTGCTGGAGCCGGTGGTGCAGTGGGACTCAGGGGGGTGAGCTGCCTGCCCTGCTCCAAGGGCAGCTGAGAGCTGTTCATGGTGCAGGAACACTCATTGCAACTGGAGAAACACACTGTGTCTCGTGGCTGCGAGCAGAATGGGTAAGGTGCACGTTGCAGAGTAACCTGCTGTGCCCCTGGAGGGGAGGGCTCCGTGCAGGAGGTGTCCCCAGGCAGGTACAGCCTTGGGGACGTGTGGGCACAGCGTGTCCCTGCATTTCCACAAAGGACCAGGAAGGTGGGAGAGTGGGAGACAGAGGGGTTGTGATGGCTGTTGCTGCACTGTTTTCATCAACTCAGAAGATCCATCAAGAAGGAGAAGCTAAAATCCCAGCTCTCCACCAAGGTAAAAAACCCAAACCCATGGCAGTCCCACAGCTGCCCTGGAGATGCTCTGCTTGGGGTCAGTGGGGAAAACCCTCATCAAGCCCTTGAGAGCAGGCAAAAGCGGTCTCCTCCCAGAACCAGCACCGAGAGAGGGATACTTTAACACCAAATAAAGCAGAATCAAGAGGTCTGTGCCATTCAGAGTGATTTGTTGCAGACCACGCAAGGCCCCAACTCTACTAAAAACCAGCCTGACCAGTAGAAACCTTTCCCGTACAACCTCGCTCCTGTCTCAACTCCACTGTGTTTTCGTTTCTCTCTCTTTTTTTTTTTTCTTCTTTTCTTTTCTTTCTCCTGCTTACAGTTTGCTTCCTCAGGGCTTTTTACTATCTGGCTCCTTTGGTTTCTGATCTAGTGGCCTTTCTCAGTTCCTGTACCAACAGCTTTAGTCGTACACCCCTCCTGCCTTTGAGGTGAGCTCCCCACACCCTCGCCAACACCCGCCATCCCCTTGCCTGCTCCATCTGCTGCCACCATCACCCACATCCTTCTCTGCCCTCACCATCATCTGGCAAGAGGGGCCAGTGGGGGGTCTGCATTACCCACAATATTCTGCACACACCCCTCCCACCCCAGCACCAGGCCAGGGCACGAGGGGTAGAACCCCCTTATCCCCACGGTGAGGCTTTACCAGGTCACCATGGGGAGAGCCAGGCTGAGGGGCACATATTATTAACCCTCTGTATCCACATATCTAGGATCTGGAAAACTTCCTGAAGTAGAGACTGGCATAGGAGCTGTCTAGATCCATGTTCTGCTTCAGTTTGGATGGGTGGTATCTGAGAGCTATTTAGTACACTCAGTATTTAGTTCTAGAGTAAACCCAGCTTAGGGTTTAACAACAGCAGCAATACAACAACCCCAGAGCTGCTCCCACCAGCTCTGAGATGAAGCTCAGGCCCACTAGCACAGCAGTGAGTTGTCTCTAACTTACTGACCTAAAGCATTATTACACAGCAGCAAAATAGTTTCCAACCACCTTATGTCCCCAGAACAGGAGCTCAGCCACAGAGGCACAAAACAAGTCAGGTGATTTATGTATTTTGGGGACTATTTTGCAAGGGTGAATGTTCCTGATAAAACAGAATAAGAGTCTCTGCTTTAGCTGGGCATAAGTAAAAGCTTTAATCTGATAGCATTTTGTTCTTGCACCCTTCTAGTCTGCATTTTACCAAGGACTCTCAACAAGATTACTGTGTTCTGTAAGCACGTAATCATACAGGCTATAAAATAGGGCACAAGCAAAAAACCTCCACAGCCAAGTGCTGTTGTCTCTGATTCACACATCTGACAGACAGGGGCCCAAATGCAGTGCACTCTCAATAGTGCACACTGTATTTTTATATATATATATAAAATATTCTATGTGTATATATGTATATAAAAAATATATAAATCATACTCACCCCTTGTTGTGTGGTTGATCAAGGACACAGATCTGCCATGCAGGAGCCTGGGTACCTACTTCATTTACTAGAAGAGGTGCCTTCAAAATCCCAGTGCCATACATTTTCATGTGGCAGCTTCAGCTCTGGAAACCTGTTCCATCTTAATACTGATGTTTACCTTAACCTCTTCAACTCTCCCTCTGCCTTTCCTCTCTCCAGCCCTGCTCTTAAAAGACCCAAAGCTTCCCCAGTCTGTGTAGCTCTGCACCCTCCTGCTCCCCCAGGGAAAGTCCCCATAATAAATTCAGGTCCAGGTCATGGCTACTGGTCCTTTTCCCTGCAGAAAATGCTGCAACAAGAGATTAAACATCGCTCAAGTTTCCACTCCCACTTGGCTGATTTGATTCCACATACAGAGCACCTGGGTCACCTGCTGGGCAATGGCAGCACCTTCCCTTCTGTCCTGGTGCTTCCCTGACGGGCTGCCCTGCATGAGGTGCCAAATGAACAGCAATTCACCACTACAGCCCATCCAGAGAATCCTTGTTCTCACCAGATAGTGCCCTCAGTCTTAATCAGGGACCAAGCTGCTGGAGAACATTTGATTCCTCCTGTAGAGCTCGTTTGTGGACACACATTTTCACTAAGCTGCAGTTTAAACATGCAGAAGTAATGGATTTGAAGGTTTAAAGTCTGTAGAATAGGTAGCCAGGTTTTCAAGGAACACGGCAGCACACCGGTACTGGCAACAGAACTGGCTAATTATTTTGTGTAGAGCAATTCCACAGTGCAGCAAACATGGACAAAACCAGAGAATTTCTGGTGCATCTCCAAAGCCTCGGTTCATGCCGAGCTGTCAGTCAGATTGCTTCCACTGCTCTGCTCTGGGGGAAGGAGCAGGTTTAAGGGATGAGCTCAGTTCTCTTTGGAAAGTCTGGTGCAAAGCTCACATGGGGTCTGGTGGGCCCACACCTTCCCCAGCCCCTCAGCACCTTCCCCGAAGAAGCCCCACTAACGTGGCAGTGCAGGCAGCTCTGCCACACCTGCCTGCTGCCCATGGTGCACACACAGGTCTGCTCAGCACAGACGTCCTTCCTTCTTCTGACATCTGCTTTCAGCTGCATTTGTTCTTTTTATTTATATCTTCCCCCCCAGGGGGACATCCACAAGCTGCAGACAGGGGAGGAACATAGTTCAGGGGTGTCACAGAGTCCCAAGCAGGTGCAGTGCTCCTGGGCAAGAGCACCTGAGCAACTCATCCCTCAGAACTGTGGGATTTCTCTTCCTCACTCACTGAAAAGCCTCACGGCAGCAAGCACAGCTGAGCCTGCTGTCGGGTGGGGGCTTAGCCCTGTCCCCACTCCTGTCATCCCTGCTCCATCCCATCACTGCACGTTTCATCCCATTTCAGCCGCGTCCCGGCGCGAGCTCCCGTGGAGCATCAGCTGCCACTAACACCCCTCTCCTCTCCCTCTGCTGCAGGATGACATGCACAGGGTCATTGACCAGCAGCTGATGGACAAACACCCGAAGGAATGGAGCCAGCTTGCTTATTCCTTCTCCAGTGGCTCCGGCGCCAAGCGGAGTGCCAGACCCTCCCCCGCGTTCAGGCCGGAGCAGCAGGGGGACGAGCCCGTCGGGGCCGAAGGAAACCGTCTCTTTTCCTTTTTCAAGAAAAATTGATTTGAAAAAGAGAAAACTCTCCAACAGTTCCTGCTTCAAGATGGGGAGTGGGGCAGCTGCCCAGCTTGCTGATGGACCCAAGTCTGATCCACTGAGTAAAAAAAGAAGGGGGCAAAGGAGTTAACCCTTGAGACTCTGCACTATTTACACCGCACCTGGTCTGAACCAAATGTTTACATGAATTGGAGATTTGCAAATTGACAATGCGATACTAATAGAAAGAAACTTTTCTTATTCTGTAAGTGAAGTGATAAACTTCAGGGTATATTTTAGGCGCTTGGGCACAGTCCAGTTTCTGCTGTGAAGAATACTCTGATTGTCTTAAAAGCATTCTCATGCTGGAGAAGGAAATAAGCAGCCCCAAGACAGAGCAGTGCAGGGGACTGAGAACTGCTGTCACAGTGAGCACAGGGGGAAGAAGAGGCTGAATGTAAGAGAGGAGAGGGGAGTCATTTATATCACCCTCCAGTCCTGGCAGCTGTGACATCCTTCATCCATTCCACCAAGACTGGAGTCACTCTGGCCCCAGCATTGCCATGTTTTGACAAATGTAGCTTTCTCCGTGGTGGAAGTTGAGCCCTCACTGCAGATCCTGCCTGGGCACCTGCAGCTCCGCATGGCTGTTCACCCTCACTGGGAATCCAGGCTCCTCACAGCTCAGGGCAGGGGGCAGATTGCTGGTGTCACTGTCTGCTCCAGCTCCCTCCTGTTACAGAGGTAAGAGTTGCAGTCTGCAGCTACACAGAATGTTAAGGATTTCTCCCCAAGAGACTGACCATCTACAACAGATTACAGACTGCATTAAAGTTGTGGATGTTCGGTCCTGGGCAGCTGCTGTCCCTCTGATGGCCAAAGGTAGTTGAGGAGCTTCAGCAAGTCACACACCTCTCCCCAAAGCCATGCACACCTCCCAAACAGAAGAAACCTGTCATTTTAACTGGATAGGCCCCCAAAAGCCCAACTAATAATTCACTGAAAGCCTACCCATAATGATGTCAGTCGGTCTTTGACACTGGGTTGGCACTCAGTCCTCAGAAAGCACACTGGCATCTGCCTTCACTGAGGCCAAAGGCCATCAGGGTGTCTACAAAACTCTGGAAAGCCTGCAGGTTACCCTGCCCTATGCAGTAACATTGGCTGGGGCCTGGCAGAAAGGAGGAGTACTCATTTCTGCCTGCAAATGAGTTACTTCTCAGCCCTTTGGCAAGCAGGGAGCCAAACCTCCTATTGATCAAAGACGATCAGAGCCTGCTTTGCACGAGTTGATCAGCATGAAGCAACATGATTTTTCTGGTGTATGCACACAGCAGTGCTGGAAATCCTGCAATACTCAAGTGGGGACCTTCCCTCTGCACTGGATGGGCACCTTACAGCTCTTCTCTTTAACACAGTCTACCATCATAAGCCAGTGAGGAATGCCAGGCTCAGTTCAGAGATGTTCTGCTGCTGTCATGCAGTTTTCACACATTCTTGCAGCTCATGATACCCACAGGCCCTAAGTTGTCTCCCTGCTGCTTTAAGGAGGCCACCACCTACACTGTCCCACAGGAAACAGAGCTGGGTACACCTTCAGCTCTGCCCTGCTCAGCAACTTTGGTGCTAAAACACCATCCTACAGGGAGCTGCTCTCTCTGCTCACTATTTACAGGAACAAGCTTTCTGCTAGAATTAGGTATCAAATACCTTCTTCTAAGCAGCAGGTAAGAGGCTGGTGGCTTGGGTTTTATTATTATTCAAGTTACCTATATGGGATGGAACATCCATAATACCTCAGTACAAATATCCTTTCTGCCTACAAAGATTTGAGCATTCCCATATTTCCTTGTTAGCACGAAACTACCGCACTGATATTAAATCATCTTGCACTAAGACAGCTCCATATTACAACAAGCAGAGTACTCTGAGGTTGAAAACCGTGGTAAAGAGCTGAGTGGTAAGACCCATTTACTTGAAAGCAATGACACCTGGATTGCAGAGCCTGCTCCAGGAAATACTTGGGCAAAGCCCCACCAATACAGCTTGATGCTTATGGGGAATAGGAATCTGAAGTCTCACAGGCAGGGAAGGAAACTGAATCTTGGCCTCTCCTTTCTAGGCAATGCTCAACTGTTGAGTATCTGCTTGTATCCACTTGTGCAAGTGAGGGAAAGGGATGTAGCACAGTGCCGAGTGCTCTCAGGATGGTGAGTCCTCATCTTCCCGTCTTACCTGTACTGTGACTCTCCATAGGACAAAGACATGAGGCACACGCTCAGCATCTCCTGCTGCCAGGACTGTTACACCCATATGCATTAACATAACCTTTGATACCTGCAAAAGGAGGGTTCATGGATGCCAGCAATACCTGTGAACAGTCACACCCTCAAAAGGATGTTCTGCTTACCGTGGGAGAGCCACGTGAACATCTCGGTCCTCACGGACCTTTTTTCTGCCGTCAGCTGTCATTCCCAGACCGCACCAGCTCTCTTCAAGCCACATGCCCAGCAGCTGTGTGGGACTCTACCCTGTGAGGATGGATGGATGGATGGATGGATGGATGCAATCCTAAGGCAAGGGCCTTAAGTTATCCCATGAAGATGCAGCAATGAGAGGACGAAAGGTGCCTTCTGTACATGTTTGCTGAGGAAAGCGACTCATTCAGCTGCAGGGGTAGGCACAGCACATCTCTTCATTTCAGGAGAATCCTTAATCCCATTGCAGTTCTATGTACTGAATAAGAGTGATGGAAGAGATTGCAAGAGGAAAGTCAGCATGTTCCAAGGTGCCAGTTGGGTATGGTTTCTTCAAACTACCCCTTAACCCTAAAGACTTAGTTGCACTACTAAACCCAGAAATACCAGAGAACTGGGTGTAATGAACTGGACAACACACCAAAGGAGACCTCCTTGTGCTGAGCTGCTACTCCACAGGAACAGAAACTGCCTTAACATAGCAGCTAGATATTGTCCTTCTGTCTTCAAAAACCTCACCCGTGCAGTCCTTCACACCCATTTGTCACACTGTGTTTTAACAAGGTCCCGGCTACTTCACTTTGCACTGTCATTAAAACACTCACCTCCATCCTGTCACAGCCAGGAGCCCAGAGTCAGCCTTGCAGTGCTGGTTAGAAGACACTTCACTTGTGGTACTTGATGCTCCCAGGACACACGTGGCATGAAGGAAACATCGGCTCCAGTGGATGAGATGGAGGAAGCACATTAATCCGGCAGGTACTCAGGATCCCAAAGGAGATTTAAGGAGTGGGATCAGCAGCTCTAAACACAACCCTCAGCCCTGCTTTTGAGATAATGGTAAATAAAGTAGTAGTGCTGCACAGTCACTCTTCAAATATTGCACAGAGAAGAGATGCCTGCTGAGATTAAGGTTACAAAGGACTTTCCCACAGTTCAGTAACAGGTGACTGTTTGGGTAAATGTTTGTAATGCTGGCCTGAGGGAAAAGGGATCAGCCTCCCCTTCGCAAACTCTGTAAGGGAAGCAACTGCAAACAAGGACCGAGTGTAACTGAAAGGCAAGTCACTAGCACTTTATCTTATCCCAAACTTAGATCAGCAGCTTGCCATCGAGGTGAACAGCAGGCCAGCTAATGCCAACGGAATAATTTTGCACAGAGAAGCAGGAAGGGAGGCTGCAGGCAGGGCCGATGCACTTGTCCTACTTAGGATGGTAAATTCCAGGTTTGCCTCTCCATCAGGCAAACTCTCTACTCCCCACTCGGCTATAAAAAGCAAGATTGTTTGAACCAAAAAGCCAAGAAAGGAAGTGTCTGGGTGCTGCAGCAATGATTCCCTTGGATTGAGAGGGGAAAAGCACACAGCAGGGATAAGCAGAAAGAATGTATCTATAGATATGTACATATACCACAGTGCTGTAATTTTTGTATGTAGCAGTAATGTAAATAAATGTATGGTTTTTATAAGATACATATTATAAAAATCTATAAAGGCATATTTTTAGTAAAACCAATGCTCTACTTCTTTTGTAAATAGTTCTCTTCAGAATAAAACAGATCATTTATAAGATACCGTCTCAGCTCTCACTGCTTATTGTGCTTAGCTGCAAAACAAGCTCCTTTTTTGAACTGTCATTTAACACCCAACAGCATTTTTAGTGCTGCATCATCCCAAGAAATTCAGCCATGTAAAGCACCTGTGTGTTCAGAAGAGAACAGGCCAGGAGAAAAAAACCCAAAAAACATTTGAAGCATCTGATCTACCAGAGGAGCTGGTAAATCTTCCCACCCTCCAGCCACTCGTGTTGTTTACTGGCTGTTATATGGAGGCAGATTCAAAGTGTAAAGAGTTTAGACACCACACACAGACAGTGACACACCTCCAGCCTGCACCAGCCACAGTTCAGACCGTCCACACGTGCTCAGGATTCCCCTCTCCCTAGTCCTACTAGAACGGTGCAGAGGGAGAAGAGGCACCTCCCCACAGCAGGGTCCCATCACACCTCCCCACAGCAGGTTCCCATCACACCCCCCCAGGAGCACGGCCTTGCCCTGGGCAGCTGCTCGTGCATGGAGGGCAGCAGGGCAAGGGGATGCTGAGGGCAGCAAGCACAGCCACGGCTGCAGAGTTCCTGCACAGATTAATTAAACACACATTCATTTCCTGGGAAAGTGAGGAGAGACTCCAGATGCTTTTTAATCACCTCAGGGGCTGACCCCTGCTGCCTTGGAGGAGCTTTCAAAGCTCGCTCAAGGCTCGTTGTTGAACAGAAAGACAAAAGATTACAGCACAATCACGAGCGTCACGCAGAAATAAGTTACCACTTCCAGCTTACTCTTCATTCACATTTAAAACTAAAATAGCAACTGGACACTTGAAAGCATTAACTGTGGTTTTGTCAATATGCCCTCCCAGGAAAAAAACAATACAGCAGCAGAGCTCACCCCTGGCTTGCCACCCTCCACCTCCAGGTGCTGGACAGCAGAGGAAACAGAGCCTCAAAAAAAAAAAGATTTGGCAGCTTGTAACCTTTATTTTTAGTTTTTTAAAATTATTTAAAAAGCATAATTAGAAACTTTCATTACAGAAATAATCCTAGCAAACCAGTTAGACATTCCATTGCTCAACATTTAGGAAACTTCACATCAGCACCACTAGAGACACAGTCCCCACCCCTTCCAAGTGAATAGTTGTGGCAAGAGCAGAGGTAACTGCTCCTCTACAGCCAGCTCTGGGGAAAAAAAAAAAAATTCCCACTTTAAGCCAGGAAGATGGAAACCTGGATTGGTAGAGTTCAAACTATGGCCACCAAGACCTGGACTCAAAGAGGACCAACTTTTCCATATAAGAGAACACTCCAGGCTTGGGTGCACCATTTCCTCATTTTATTGCATCATTTCCAGTAAATTCAGACATTTTCTTTACTTCTGCCTCTATGAAGTTACTCCCTCCTAGATCTGCACACACACTACCACAAGAGTCCCAAAGTTAACACAGCTGGGCCCTTTAATCTGCAAGGGGTAACTGTCACAGGACAGCTCCATTCCCACGGGAAGGCTCCAGGGATGCCCAGCTGCTCCTGGCACACACCACATTCAACATCAGAGAGCAGACGAGGATGGACTGGTGGGAATTCAGCCGCCACTTTCCACAGCCACTCAAGTCTTACAATTATCAGAGCTCACTCCAGCAGTATCATCCCAGCTCACTCTTATTCTTGGGTTACCAATGCAAGATATGTGAAGAAAAGAGATGGGTGAAGGCAGCTGGATACATATTCCCAGCACCTGAACTGATTAAAAAAACCACGTGTTGCACATTCATTGTTTGCATTTTGTAAAAAGTCTTTAAAGTGATTGACTGTGACGTGATTGTATCATTGGGGCTTTTACCACAACCCGAAAAATCTAAAAAAAATGCAGGCAAAATAAGTGACTAAAATTTAGCCTCTCCTGTGGGAAGAGGGAGGAAGGGAGAGAAGTGGGCTGACTCCAAGCTCAGGGACATCAGTGATTCACATCCTACCAAACTAAGGCCAGCAATTCCATAGGGCCACTCACTGAGACTCTGAGTATGCCCACCTTCAAGGCCTTAAAGGAAGTCACACCCTCCATGCCTTTTAGTCATTTTAAGGAAAAATTATTTTTTAATATTATTTAGGCAATTATTCAGGTGCTGAGCATGTCCTTTCAGCCCAGACATTTGATATTTTAGTTACACACACAGACACTCTCCACCTTTAACTACATCTATTCAGGCTGAGGAACTGAGCCCTTGTTTTCCCGGAAAGGCCAACAAAGGCCAGGAAAACATTGAGCACAGTGAGCCCAGTTTGTTTCCAAGGGTGATCCTCCACCACCACATAACCCAAGCAAGCAAGCTTTCCATTTCTTTGCATTAAACAGCAGTCCTCCTTCCTACCAGAAGAATCCTGGGAATGATCCTGCAGCAGCTTTCATATTCAGACATCAACCCAGAACAGCTGGATTTATTTTCATGCCTTTCTCTCTCTCAAAAAACAAAAGCTTTGCCACCAAAATTCACATTCAAGTTCAGATTGCCTATTTGTGGACAGGGCAACGAGGAGAAGTTTGGGTTTTTTGGCAGAATCACACGGATTTTGTTCTTCTCAAAAGAAATGGACCCTCACTTAGGACACTGGCAGAACCAGAAGCAGAGGTCAAAGGAGTTAAACTTTGCTTTAAAAAAAAAAAACAAAACAGAAAAAAGAAAAGTTTTATCCAAATAAATCCCACTTCTGCAGGTCAGTTTGTTTTCCAGTATCTTGATACAAACTACAGAAGAGCACAGGTACAGCTGGGCTGCAGCACGAGGATCCAGCCACAAATCTGGACCATGGCAAACTGAAATTCAAGGCCCCAGCAGCAGCACCAGCTGCCAGCCCAGGAGCTGGTGACGTGAAACCCCAGGCTCCAGCAGTGCCACCTGCAATCCTGGTACCTAGAAAAACACAGCCTGAGCCCCAGCAAAAGCCTGGGACTCCAGGAGAAGCCAGAGGCCCCAGGGGCACCAGTTGCCAGCCTGGAGCCCGACAGAAATGCAGCCAGAGGCCCCGGGAAGCAGTCGCTGCCAGCCTGGGGCCACCTCGAGTTAAGAACTTGGTACTATTTCTTTAAAAAGATGAATTCTGCAGTCCATGATTGGTTGACATTAAGAAGGCAGAAGCCAAAGCGACAACAGGGAGGCGAGGCTGGTTAAAGCAATATACATTATATACAAACTCTTGGGTTAATTAGTCCACTTGGTAGGCAACGTCCTTCTTGTCTACAAGGCGCACTGGAATGAGCAGGGGAGGAGAGGGGGGCAAGATTCCATCCGATACCTTCTTGGCACTGAAGTGGTAAGGTGCCAGCGCCTCTTGATAGAAAACATGGAGAAAAAAATAATCTTTAAATAACGGCACAAAACTGAGAAAGTCCTCCCAAAGCCTGCCCCAGTGGAATTGCCCGAGTCTAGCTGGAGGGGCTGATCTGTCTGAGAGCAGAGTCTCTGCAGCAGGGAAGGGGCATTAACAGCACCTCTTCTTCCTTTTACTGTTCTTCGTTAGCTTCACCACATCGTTCTGTTGCTGCTGTTGCTGCTTTGCTAAGTTTTCTTTCTTTGCTCGCAGGACAAGCTCTGTAATGCAATTAAACATCTGCAAGAGAAACAAGCGCCGTCAGAGCACCCCAAGACTCGGGCTGGCTCCTGGGGGGTGCTGCTCTTTTGAAGCAACTCCACTGTTCTAGGTATTTCAATAATGCTTCAGAGATCCTCCCCAACCCACTGCAGGCCAAGAGGAAATCCAGTACGTTCCCAACCGACTCCCAAGCTAAATCAATAGCACCTCTATCCCCTTTTCCAAACCAGTAAATAAGAACAGGTCAGTTTGGCAGCTGAGGCCACGAGTGAACACTGGGCAGTCCTACCTCCTACACGCATTCTCCCTCATGACAAGTCTTTCCTGAGCCCATGCCTAATATGTGAGCACTGCAAAGCTACTGAAAACAGCAGCGTGGGCTCCTTCATTTCGCTTCCCCAACTCTTCCAAGCACAGCTGGGTGTGTCTCTTTTTGACATTTTACCTACTCACTTGCAACTCACACAAAGCACTTTATCCTTCCTCCTCAATGGGAAGAATGTAATTTTAAGTTTTTCCCCACACCACTATCCCCAAACAGTCATATCTACACCCCTCTGAACATTATATTACCTCTTCCACATTAATATTTTCTTTGGCGCTGGTCTCAAACAATTGGATCTCCATCTGCCCAGCAAATTTATAGGCATCTTCTGTTTCTACCACTTTTCGCTCTGGGTCATCGTTCTTATTCCCCACTGAAAAAGGAAAGGAAAGAAAAGAAAAGTCAGTTTGGCACTTGGACAGGTGACCCCAGTAAACAGGATGATGTAGCTGTCATTATTTACCTAGTATCCGGCAGACATCGTCACAATTTTGATTAATTTCATGTAACCACCGCTTTACATTCACAAAAGATTCTGCACTTGTTACGTCGTAGACAACAATGACCCCGTGTGTTCCTCTGTAATACCTGTGGAGCAGGAAAGGACAATAAATGTTAACTCAAGCTGGGTATCACCTTCTCAGCTCTTTCACTGAGCCTCCACAAGATTCCTAACAAATCCACAAGTTGCAGCAATCAAGTGCCTCCATTTTCTTTCCATGGAGACTCATATAATTCTTTTATAACAGCTCGATCACATGCTATTCCTCTAAACCTACAGACCTTCCTGCTCATTCAGTCTGTACAAGCAGGTTTCAAAGTCCAAAGACTGGTAATAACTTCCTTGTTCAGGTTGTCAAGAACTTCAAATGTTAATATTGTCTTCCAGCTCCATGACCAAAGGCAGTGAACCCCTGGCATGTCCTCAGGACTGGCTGGGATGTGAACCCTGGCGTTGTACAAGCCCCATCAAGTTTTTGCAGTAATTTTGTTATCTGTGAAAGATCACTTACAGACTAAAATTTCAGCAGATCTCCAAATAAACTCAACCCTCAGTCACAGCTCTCTTGAGCTCACAAAAATTTCTGTCTTGTTGAGCGACTGTGTTCTGATCACACCTTCCTACTCAACAGATCGACTCCATATGTGCGTTCACTGCGCTCTGCTACCTTTAGCCATTAAAAATAAGCTTCATTTCAGTTTATTCCCATTAATCTTGGGCAACCAGCACCTTTAAAAGATGATGAGCAATTCTGATACGCAAGAAAAATATCTGAATTCAAGTTCCAGCATCATCACCTGCACGAACCTACCAAAGGCAGGCAGTGGGTGCACCAGGAAAATGCTGTATAAAAAAAAAGCAAGCTCCACCTTATCAGTTTTCAGTCACATTCACAAGGCTACCAGGTTATGTTCCCTACTGCAAATTAGGCACCCCAAAAAAATGTTATTAAAACAGTTGACAGTGAAGTCTTCACTAGCATCCACTTTTTATGTTATATGTAGCTTCATTCTTTTTCTTTCCTCCTCTCCTATTTCTTATGTACATTAAAATTTTTAATAAATTCAAGAACTCAGCATACAATATTGAGGATTTTCCCTTAAATGTTGACAGTATTCCTAGTCCTTGCTCTCTTACCACAGGTAGCACTCTCCCTTCCACTGCACTTCAGGGATCTCCACCGTGACCGTTCTGCTCCTCTTTGATAATTTATTCCAACTCAGCGAACACACCTTTGAACCTCAAAGCCTTTGAATCCAACCCAAACACACCTTTCAGAAGATCTCAAAGCTTCAGCTCACTTTGCTACTGATGCACTTGTGAACAAGTCACTGTCTCTTCCCACCTCCAGCCTCATCATCCTTCTACAACAGAAGCCACCTTTGTAGATCATCAGACAGACTTCCAGAGAGGCACATACCACTCACAGTCACACACCTTCCTCTCCTGATCTCAGCATCCCTGGGTGTCAGCACTCCTCCATGACATGATACCTGCTCTACAGAAGTAGAACAGTCTGCTCCTACTGCTCATCTGGGCACTTGCAGCAGACAGTCAAATACTTCTCCCACACCATGTTTTATCAGTAATTTATGCTGTACATTCACTTTACTTGGCAAGAACTGACTCAGGTAAGAATTACTTATTCCTGTCCCATAAGAGATCCTGCACTTTCAAATGTTCTATTCCATTCACAGTCAGTTCCTTTCACAGCTTCAAAACTTGCTACAGCACTGCATTTGTGCTTTACTTTGTTACAAGCCCTACTTTAATTCAGAGCTTAGCTCCTTTAGAGGAAAAAGTATTCCATGGCTTGAATCCACATGTTGCAAAAACCAACCCATCCTCTCCTGACTCACTGCACACTGCTTTTGATGAATGCTGTTCTGTGAGCAGCAGAAAGGGACCAACACACTGGATTTCTCCACAGCTGAACAATAAACTAATTATCTCCAAACTCTCCCATATCACCTAACAGCCTTTTAATTCAGCAGCCCTCGGGCTGACCTACCCCTTCCTCCCTAACTGGGAGCATCACACTTGCAAAGACAACACCGAGCCTTTGGAGAAGCGCGGTGGTTCAGCTGCACCTCCACAGAGCTGCTTCGCTCTGCCGTGCGCACCACCCAGCCTGGCGATCCTGTCATCCAAACCAGAGGACCCCACGGAGCATCCTGCTGCTCCCACCTTGCCCACGCACCTAGATTTTCTTCTGAGCAAAGCACACGATGTCGGGGAGCAGAAAACATGCAGCCAGCACGTACAGATCCCACTCCTGACACGTCGTCAGCACACTCTGTTTTCGCTCCGGGGACGAGGACCGTGGGCTGGACCCGGCAGCAGAGACCACCACGGCAACCGAAACTCTGCAGGAGCTGGGAGCTCCAGACACAAAGCACTAACACTGCCAGCCAGTTTATCAGAAATATCTTCCTTTGTGCAAGACAGCAACCCCTGACTCCTGCTGAGTGCCTACCAGCACACGCTGCTTCTATTTTTGGAAAGGAAAATTGTCTGGCACATCGTTCTAGAAAGGTTACCAACCCCTCATCTGCACTAAAATGTCATTTTTCTCCATTGGCTGTCATTACCAACAGCAATAAGTCTGAGAAAGAAGACCATGCCTACCTGTTATTCTCTAACTCTGAAGCCCCATTACACACATTTTCTCTCAAAAAGCTGGTCATGCTGTTTTCTATCAGTTGTTGCACTGCTGTGTCCTAGATAACACTGTAAACTTAACAAGCACAGCAAAGATTCTCCAACCCCCAATACAGGACAGTAGAAAACAAAATCTAATTTGTCCTACCCCATACTTCAACTTCCAGCATGATGCAGTGCAGAACTGCTTTTATAACAAGTTGTGGGCTTTGGCGAGTAGAGAACAGATGGGGCTTTTGGCATTCAGGGAGGAGTAGGTGTAAATTTTGTGCTTTTGGCAACCAAGAGGTAGTTGAGGCTTTGACACAAGGGAAAGAATGTCTTATTTCCTTCCCATCCACATTTTAGGGAAGATGGATACCACAGAAATGAGAGCGGAAGAGAAATGAAGTTCTCAATCTCAGCCCCCCACTGAAGGACTGACTGATGCTGGCTGTCCTCTGCATGGGGGGCACGCTCTGCCATGTACCCTGCAAACCTCCCAAACCACACCTGCTACTGCTCCTGCTGATAAACACCTTAGTGAAATACAGAAAAAAAACCATTATAGACCAGTCAGTCGTGTTTAGAGTGTCCCTGAAAGTATATCCTGTTGAGGTGAGAAACAAATAAACTTGACCTGTATAAACCCCAGGATGCTTTGGTTGGAAGAGTTCCCGAGATCTGAAGGCTTTACACTTGGCTTTAGTGCAGAAAAGGCTTAAGAATGACAGCATTTAAGTTGAAAAAAACCACCTACGTTGCTTATTCTACCATCAGAATTAAATTTAAAGCTTAAAGACATAAGCTTACTGCCTTTGACACATTACCTAGTAATGCTGCAGACTTGGCACAGAGGATCTTCAGAGGTGGTTACCAAACTCACCGTGTCCTTCAGCCACCATCATCCTCCCCTCCACTCTGAACACGGCCTTACTAAGCAGGAGGGAACATCTGCCATTTACCAGGGACTCCCTACTGCAAGATACCAATGAGAAGATTCTCATATTCCTCCTAGTAAATGCTTCCCAATATTAACATCTGGGTTTTTATCAATCAGTTCTGTGAAGCACAGCAGTAGCTAAGTCAGATTTAAAAGAACACAGTGTTATTGACAACATCATTCAGTAGGGCCCATGTGTTCATTTTGCCAGGAAAACATGTCACTGCCAAGTGTGAAGGATAGGCCACTGGTTTAATCCAACTTCTTTGTTAACATTTCACTACTTTGCAGCCCACATTTCCTTGCTCTTTGTTCATGTAGAATTCTAAGAATTTCCAAAGACTTCTAATAATCTGGTTTCATCCTCATCTTTCTTTCAGGTTCCTGGAAGCCCATCTGTTGTCACAGGTCAAACAGACCAGTCTTTTAACAGTCATATCTGGTTTACATGACGCAGCAATTCTACCATCTAAAAAAGTTTATCCCTCTCTTGAACGTGCCATGCCAAGGGACACCAAGGCAGAAGGTCCCTCTGCTATCACTGTTCATCCTGAACTGGCATCTGACAACTATCATGTAAAGCTTAAATCCCTAAACCCACAATCCTGAATCAGGACAAAGCAGTCCTGTCTACAAGAGGAAATCAAGTACAGGGACTGATTGTTCATGCATCTTAAGTGTTCCTGCTAATACAGCTGTGTCCTGGCATGCTAAATCTCTGGTGAATTTAAATTTAATTTGGATGACATTTCATGCCAACCAAATTCACACAGCTTGGCCTCTCCTCCCACAAGGCACCAGCTATCCCAGTGTTTCCATATTTAACAGACAATAAAACCAGCTGCCTTTATACTTCCCAGTATGAAATTCTGATCTAGTTTAGTTTTCTTGAGCTTCTGCAGAATACTCCGGATCAACATGATTTCTGTTCCTTAACAGTTTTATTCCATTTTACAGCTTCTGTAACTGTAGTCAAGTAAAATCAAACTAATACAACCTTTTAATGCTTCCCAATTTTCCACTATTAACTTCCTACCACCTCTACCATTTTGCAGTTCCAAGTCCAAACAGCAGTACTTCCAACCTATTACTGTAATTACCAGATGGGCTCTAATTTCAGGCTTGCTTGCCAGCCTTGGCTCAACATCAATCTGAACTCTGCCTTTCACTGTAAAAGGGACTTCCTGGCCTACTGTAATACTGCAGGAACACCTTTTATATCCTTACCCTCAGTGTAAACCTCAATCTAGTCAAAGACTAGACAGACTACTACATTCTGTTGACAGGGCACTCACACTCCACCCATGATTTGACAGCCAAACCCCTTTGCAAGTACTAGCAAGGTACCTCGATTTGTCACTTAATTTGGGATGGGTAAATCAGTCATAGTATTACTTTGCCAATAAACAGAAGAAAAAAAAAAAAAGGCAGAACCATTTCTAAAATCCAAATCTTATCTCCTGGTTTTACAGGTGATATGATTAGAAATGCTGGACAAGCTTGCCAACCTAGCAGCAAGAAGAGCCCTTGTGTCCATGTAATCAGCATTCCCAAAGTGTTTTCCTCACCACTTTAAATGCACTCAGGCACATGAACTTCTTTACTTAAAACTGCACAAAATTCAAATCTTTCTCCCCAGACTGTAACTACTTCAGCAGAGATAAGGCAGGAAAACTGGGACTTTCACTGGCCCCAGAATAAAACATACCTCACTTGGGTACAAAGCTATGCAAAAGGAGTAGTAGCAGAGTTCCAACAGGTCATGGCACAAACACCCTCAAACCATTTCAGCTTATCTATTTTAAATGTTAATCAAAAAAAAAAAAAGTTACATAAAACACTACACCAAGTCCGATCTGCAGCTATCCCTGCTCACAAAAGGAATCCTCCTTTCCTGGTGTTCCCTGTTCAGGGCTGGATACCATGGCTTTCTAAACTAGCTGGCATCAGCCCCACGACCCAGCGCTCATTAACGCAGCTCCGAGTCGCATCAGGGAATCTGCAAACAGGAAGGCCATTTGCTGACTCAGCAGTAATTGGGGCACTCTGACTCGCCTGTCACAGCTGATGGGGCCGCAGCACCGCTCTGCTGCCTCCCCCTCACCACTTCCTCCCCAGAGCTGCCTGCAGCGCTGAAACAAGAAGTGATGTCACACACAGGAACCCTACAAGAGGCAACTGAGTTTTTTCAAGCCAAGCACTTAAGAAACAATAGGAGCAGCCCAGTAATATCCGTGCGGGAGCGCAGAGGAAAGGGGCGGCGCACACATCAGCTTCGATTTTGCCATTTCTAGCTGTGCAGACGTAACACACATGCAACCAATCTCATTATTTTCAAGTCTGAGTAAATTAACCAATTCATCAGAGATCCTCCTCTAAAACAGGAGCCAAAGGAGAAGTGAGTCATGAAAGACCAAGTGAAACATCTCGGTCTTTTAAGAATTACTATTTTCGGTTAATACCCAAGAAAACAAAAGTTCCATTTCCAAGTGTTCTTCTCCCTCTCCACGCAGTGCAACAGTGAGCGGTCCCACCTTTACTGCCATCAGTTTACACACACATTTTATTCTTAGTTCCCACCGCTGCAGCTCTGGGTGTGGTTTCTTCGGGAACCGGAAAAGCTCTGCACACACTGTTCAGAAGGACAATGAGCTTGAATCTGAACTCCAACCAAGGAAAAGGTTAATATCATGTGGGCGTCCGCTTCAGCAGAGCTCCACACAAAGATAGCTGCTAAAATGCTTTTGTCCTAAAGGAAAAACTAAGTATCAGAAATCCTATTCTTCGATCTCCAAGCTGTTCATTAGTTATATGACGCTGACAGAGGGTTTGCACTCTGTGCTTCTGCAGTGCACTTAATCAGAGGACATCTTGGACAGGCTACAGAGACAAGTTTTCTGCTATATGCAATGAAATTTCTCTGGTTCTACCATTTGGAAACTACCAGCAGAGGAATAAGACAAAGCCACCATGAGAAATGCACAGAAGAGTGAGAAAATCTGAAATCCTCGTCCCAAACCCAGGCCACAAGGTATCACCACCACAATCAGTTCTGAAACAGCTGGGAGAGGTCCCACTGTACAGACAACAAAGCCATGGTTACCTCATCAACTGCAACATCCAAACACCTCAACCCTAACGCTGAACTACGAGACCTGCACCCAGAGCTGCACATCACAAAGCCCAGCGATACTCACGTTGATGTGATAGTCCGGAAGCGCTCCTGGCCCGCTGTGTCCCAGATCTGGAGTTTCACCTTCTCTCCATTGATCTCAACTGTCCGGATTTTAAAATCCACTCCAATGGTGGTGATGTAGCTGCCTGGAGGGAAAGTGTGGGTAAGTGAGAACCCAAGTCTTGTTTATTTTGGATGTCCCAAAGCACGCTTCTGAGCACTGCTTGGCAGCAGCTCTCACACTGGACAGCAGAACAAGGTTCCCCATATCTGCTTACTGTTTAAAATGCCCTAAGTCATGCTGGCCTGCGGATTTTTATCTGCAGAAAACAGCTTTTTTTTCCTAGCCATAAAGTCACTTCTTCCAAACCACCCTTAAAATTTAAAGGTCAGGGCTACAAAACAAAATTATTCTTCTACCGCATCGGTGATCAAGAGTAAGCACCCAAATATCTCAAGAAACAGTAACTAGGAGAGTATTTCACTTGTGAAAATTTTGAGACAAAGCTCTCCTTTAAATGCTTGTGCAAACACTTATTTTGAATACACTCTGTTCTAAGAGTTTCCTCCCAATAAACTGGTTATATGACAAATGTAAGTGGTTTACCACAACATTCAATCAAACTCCAAATGGCTAATGGGATGTCTGCAGAGAGTACAGCATAAGCTCAAACACCGAAGCTATTTCTGGAACCATGTCAGTATTTAAATACTGTGGGACTTTCAGTTGCAAGTGAAGACCAGACAGGATGGCCTGTACAGGCTTATACCAAGAGATGCAAAGTTAGAAAAATGATGTATTCCTAGTACAGCTATCAGTGGGCAAATGCAGAACAACTCCTTGCCAAACCAGCAGCACTGGAGCAAACCTGGAGCATTTCACTTATTGAAGTAAACAAGCCACTCACCTGAGAAGGTATTATCTGCAAAACGCAACAGCAAACTGCTCTTGCCCACACCTATGACAAACAAACACAGCAAGATCTTTGAATACATCATCTTGGGTGTCAGGTAACCCAAAATAACAGTGTTTTGCCCATCCATTGCATTTTTAACTGTAACTCGGGTATTTTCTCAGCAGATCGTTTGGTACCATCCAACCTTGACTGTTCATCTCAGCACTCTCCTCGGAGATTTGACCAAGCACAATCAACCCAAGACTCAAGATGCTTCTGGTAGCAGTGTTGGGGGGGAGGGGTGTCCCTCCTCCCTCCAGCCCTCAGCAAAACCCCAAAAAGTACCTTCTGCACTATGGTCAGTTCAAGAGGTCAGAGAAGAGTAATAACTAAAAGCAAGTTTACAACCAGTAGGCTTAAATCTGCTAAGGAAAGAGCCAAAAATGGGCATGTCCTGCTAATTAACAAGGGCTCAGGAACTACTCTATTGAATTCCACTGCCCACCTTCCATTCTCTGTGCCCTGGTGGAATTTGGACTGCTCTGACAATAACCAGACCAGGGCTTGGTACTGTAAAGCTTATCATGGCCACAGTTTAACGGAAGCCTAAACCTAACAGAGGAATTGGGAATCACTGTCCTGTACTGCCATCCAAAACAGGCCTGTTCCACACCTAACACACCTTTCTGAAGCTGCCAAAATGTTCCACGAAACATTCCTCTAAGTGCTTGGAGTAGCACTTCATCCAGGTTTTCCATAAAACGTTGTTTGCACCCTGATCACACCCTCTTGCAGGGACGCATTTTTCACAGTGCTTCAGACAAGGGCTGTAAGAAACTCGTTCCTGCACAGCCAGCCAGGGGAATCTGGGTATCCGAATGCCTCCACCTTGTTATCTCTGCATAACATCTCTGCTGTTAATGACCTTTCCTCCCCAAAATAAATCTGCTATGGCATGAGTAGGAAATTCAACTTCACCAGGGTAATTATCTGTTAAGTCTCCTCGGGTAGAAGTTATTCAAGGTAATTATTATGATGATGTATAACTTGAAAGTTCTTCTTAATAGAAGACCTATGCAAAGACTGTGCAGAACTCCAGTGGTTCTCAGCTGCTGGTGTGTGATGATAGCTACCAACAAAAAACAAAAGCCAACCTAAAAATCTGCAAAAATTCCAGTGAGCCAGGCCTCACTGGCAAAGAGTTGGAATCACCAGCCATCTGGAGAAGCCATGCTCACTTCTCAAGATTACCAATCTAAGAAGGAAGGGAAAGGAGGGAAGAAAGCTTCTAAAAATACAGTTAGAGTGCACACAGTCAATACCTCTGAGCTCAACAAAGGGAGCAGAGCAGTTCCTGAACTTTAACAGACGACTTGTTATTTAACAGAAGCTAAACTTCTGCAAAGTACCAGTCAGCTAAGAAAAAAGAATAAAATGAAAGAAAAGAAAATTAAATAAAAAATAAAATAACATAAAATGTTTCAGCAAGTGCTATGCTTCTTGGCCTTGGCCTCCAGCTCAATAAAAAGCAAGTAGAGATGCCAGAACCTCCAGACCTGTCTGACCACACCACCTTCTCCAAAGTCAGCTGGCCCTGGGCAACGCTGCAGAGCTGCACATGACACTGCTCTGTCACACTGCCCTGCACTGCACAGCCTGCTCTGCACAGCCTGCACTGCTCCCAGCACGCTGGCAGCTCCCAGGGAGGAGAAACCTCCCGATCTCAGGAAGTTCTCCACGCTCCCGATGACAACGATCTCACTAAACAAACACTGCCTCTGACCCACACTGTTCACACAGAGAGAAACCACACTCTTGGTGACCCCCCACTTCCCACACAGAGCTATTTGAAGATCTGAAGACAAGGCTCGCAGAGCCTCAGCCTGTTGGAGACAGCACAATGAAACAAACAAACAAACAGAAAGGCCCACTGCCCGCACAGTCAAAATTAAAAGCGAATTTCTGTGCCAGGCGGGGTTTCTAAGAGCCACATTTTACTGAATGGCAGAGCGAATTAAAGAAGCAGATGCAAAGCACAGATCATCTGTATTATTTTTAAATATCTGGCACAGCTGAGATCACCAGCAGCTTTCCAGGATGACCTGTTCTAAAAACACACAAACCTACTACCCTCTTGATAGATTTGCATACAGGGGAAAGCAGATGAGCCAGATTCATCCTATCCAGTGTCAGTCCACTTCCTATTGCAGGGAATACATGCCAATAAACAAGGCAAGCAAACTGTTTTGTGAAAGCAGGGACAAAGCCTTCCTGTTGGTGTTAGCAATAACAAAAACAAAGAAAAATCAATACTCAAACTACACAGTGAGATTTAATTACCAACAGAGAACCACAGGCAGCCCGACAATTCTCACAACACTCCTTTCCTTTCACTGGATACACTGTAGGGACTTTGCTCAAGAAGACTCAGCTAAGAAATTTAATTGTTTAAAATGAGGAGAAGTCCTCCTCAGAGTTCTCACCATCCTGTTTATCTTGCCTGAACAGTTTTGAGGCTCATCAGCAAGCAGCAGAGGCACTGCTTTACTCAGAACGCAGCATTTGGTTGTAATAATCCACAGGCTCCCAAAACTGCCTGGGGTTTGAGCTGTTCTGAAGCTGTTGATCTTTCTCCCTCCTTAGATCCCTCCATGCAGACACAGTTTAGCGTAGAATAAACACTTTTAAATACAGCTAAAGCTTCTGAGGGTGACAAATGGTAGGACAGAGCAACTTTACACTTTCACCCAAGAGCTGAGCCTCGCTGCATGCCGGGACCTGCCGCCCCAGGACCACACCTCTGCTAAAGAGCAGGGTGGATGCAATCTTCCCCAGTTTATGGAAATTAAACTGTGAGCTGCTGGAGTGTTACCAACACCGAACTGGACTCGAAGGCAGGAATCTTCCCAGTCCCAGTTCTTATGTACCCAGACTAAAGCACCAGACATGGGCTGAGTTCTCAGCCTTCCAGAGGTTTCTGAAGCTGCTGCAGAAGAATTTACGGGTCTGTTCTGAAGAAACTCACACCACCCCTTTATTTTCTGTTTATAGATGTTTGCATCCTATACTATAAACAGAAATACACAAAGCTACCAGCTCTTCAAGGATTTATTCAAAGAGAGTGATGAACTCTAGAACTGAGACTTCAGGCTGAAGCACAGAAAGAGTCTTAGGGAATAATTAAGATAATAATGACTATTAAAACGTAGTAGTTGCCACACTGGAAACAATGGTCCCTAGGGCAGCCAGCCCTTCCCATCGATCTTTAAACCGCCTGTCAGAAGGAGAAGGGAATTCCCTCCTCATCCCAGCAACAGATTAGTGGGCGCCGTCAAAACACGCGCTCGCCAGGGTTGATGCCGGCAGCACTGCCGGTGCTGTCCTGACTTCTACGTGCCCAATCTGCCTTTTCCTCGAACGCAGCCAAGCTATTTACCATAACATCCCGCGGCAGCCCGTTCCGCAGGTTCACCAGACCAAACCCCGCGAACGCCCGAGCGGGCGCGCCCCCCCATTCACACACAGCGCGGGGGGTCCCGGCACAGCCCAGCAACCGGGGGCGCCCCGGGAGCAGCAGCAGCAGCAGGAGGAGAAGGAGGAGGCCGGCCCTCCCCGCCTCCCCGCGCCGCCGCCCTCAGGCCCCTCACGGCCCGAAGGGGCGGACACCCGCCAGCGGCCTACCCGCGCCCCCGGGGCCGCGCCAGCCGCGCCTCACCGCTGTCGCCGATGATGAGCAGCTTGAAGAGGTGGTCGTAGTCCCGGGCCATGGCCGCGGGCGGGGGCGGGTGCGGGGGCTCGGGGGCTCGGGGCGGCGGCGGCTCCGGCCGGAGCCACTTCCCGGACAAACAGCCGGAACTGACAGCGGCGCCGCCGCGCGTGCGCCAGGCCTCCGACGGGAGGGGGAACCTGCCGGCCGCGCCCGCCGCGCCTGCGCCGGCCCTGCCCCCGCCCCGCCGCGCGCCGCGCCTGCGTGGGGAGACGGCCGCGCCTCGCGCGGGGCCGCGCCTGCGCCGTGGGGAGGGCGAGGTGGGGTGAGGGAGCTGGAACGTCTGGGCGGGGCGGGCGGGGTCGTGAGGGGAGCTGGGAGGGACCCGCCGGGGACCCCCCCGCCCCGAGACCCGGGAGGGGACCCGTGAGGGGACCGTGAGGGACCCGCCGCTCCGGAACCCGTGAGGGGACCGTGAGGGACCCGCCGCTCCGGGACCCGTGAGGCGACCCGTGAGGGACCCGCCGCCCCGAGACCCCTGAGGGGACCCATGAGGCGACCCGTGAGGGGAACCGTGAGGGACCCGTGAGGGGAACCGTGAGGGACCCGCCGCCCCGGGACCCGCAGGGGACCCGTGTCCTGCTTCCCCTCCACGGTCTCCTCCACGGGCAGCTTGTTTTCCCCGCCGAGCGATCACTCAGCGTGCCCCCCGCAGCTCCCCTGTGAGCTCGTGTGAGGGAGGACAAGGCAGAAGGGGAGGCTGCCCCCAGGGAAGCGCTCGAGGCGTGAGGGAGCCCCAGCACTGTCAGCTCCTGACGAGGCACAGGAGCAGAGCGCAAAGGGCAGGAGTGTGTTTGGCAGCTTTAACAAGAAGGTTGTGCACCAAAGCAGCGATTTGTGCAGCTGCGGGAACAGTTCCCATTCAAGCCCAGCCTGCAGGTGAGGAGTCCCACAGTAGAGTGACACGAAGTGGCCGAGTGTGTGTCACAGGCCTGGCGAGTCAGGCCAGTCTGGAATTAAATTCCTGGGGTTTTTAATCCACAAAAGTGCCTCTGTGTGGCTCAGGGTGGGCCTCACATGTATCAGCTGTGCCTGCACCATCCACAGCCCAAATCCACCGTTCAAAGAGCACTCTCAGAGTTGTTTAACACACAGACAGCCTGAATAATATTACTAATAGTTGCACAGACACTGACTACGCAAACTCTGCAAGACCATGGTCACTTTTTATGCAGTAACCACTTCTAGGTGAAGATGTGGCAAAGAAAAGTGCTGTTTTTCCTCTGATTAAATTTTTCTACAAAAGTATTCATACTCGTACTTCAACTCTAAAGATCAAACAATGCAGTTTTGATGTAGAATATGTAAATTACTTAGGACTTCCCAGTTGCTACGATTTTTCAATACATTTGTAAAAACACAGCAACAAAAGCATGTGTTAGGTTTATTTGTCCAGTTTGTATGCAATTCATCTGTAAACAAATCAACCCAGAATGGCTCAAATAGCATGTCTGGGTTAAAGATTTTTTTTTTTTTTTAAGCACATAAAATTGCATCTTCTAAATATTTCTGATCAACGGTATGTCTGTGGTTTTAATTATAAACCTTCCTTAATCTCAACCTTCAAAAAACGTATTCTAGCTTTCAAAGCTCACCCCTGTTAAGGCCCCCCACATCCTGGAATCCACTGAGGATGCCACGTAGCTGCAGGGAGATCCCTTGAATCCAGCTTGCAAACCACCAGCTCAAACCCAAAATGCCAGGGACTCCTATTACCTTTACTTTTAAGCTCATTAAACCTCATCACATGAAAAGTGTGATGATACCTAACAAAACGGACAGTAAGAACTGTGACTTATCCAAAAAAAAAAAATCAAAATATTTGAATATTTTATGCTTTTACATTTGTCTCTCTCCCATTGTAATTTTCGGCACCCCTGTTAAGTTTAAACCTCTCTCATAAATTATTTTTTGATCTTCTTGAAATACACACAGTTCAGCTGTCACTCAGAGACAGTTTGCTTGACAGTTCAAAGATGTTATTACAGTCAGTCTTAGGCAAAAATCATCTTTTACTGACAACTGGTATTTTTAAGACACTTGAAATGAGGAAAAAATTAATTCTTTAGTCTCCGAGTTGGCACAATCAATTTATCAGATCTCATGTTGTGGCAAAAAATTATGGGTATTTTATCTCTGATGTATTATAGTGCAGTGTATAAATAGTTCAGCAAAAAGTAGCTATCGAAATCCAAATCCAGTGTTTCACTGTGACTGAAAAATCAGCATATTCTCCATAAGTGTCAGTGAGCTCCTACCTTTCACTCCTCCCTCTCAACTAAGCTCAGTGCAGAAATTCAGGTGCTGTTCGGGAAGATGAATGAGTTTTTCCACTTGCTGCCACCTAAGTTGGAACTACAAATCATCAAAATACCCTAAGTAACAAAAGATCTTATTGGCTAACATTAACAAGTTGATAAAAAAGGCTTTGTTCAACTGTAATTTCCTTTCCCGTGTTTTTATGTGGGGCATCAACTGGAATCAGATATAATAAAATAGGGAAGCCAAGGTGCTCACAGTCAAGTGCTCAAACAGCCATTCTTCACCAAAACTTGCCATTTTTTCATTCCTTCCTCTCTGCAGTGATGGAGTGAGTGATTCCAGTACAACAGCTGAGCATTTTGCCATCTATTTAGTAGCTTTTGAATGGCATAACATTTTCTACATGTCTCAGTGTAGGGGTTTCTAAGATGGTTTAAGATTTGCAAGTATTTTGAAAGGCAAAAATTAAAGGCAAGAATTAAAACCCACCTTCAGAATGCAGCTAAATGTGGTAAGTAGAACACAGTTTCATTCAGAGCAGTTGGGAAGCACCGCAGTGGTGTAGACATAGTGAAATGCATGAATGCAAGATTAGAAATAATTAGCTAAAGAGTAATTTTGTAGCTTGGCTTTGTAGCTGAACACAAAATAACGTGTCACCAACACAGCAGTGTTGCAACAAAAGAACACCCAGACCTTGCTTAGAAAACATGAAAATCTATGAGAAAATACTTAGAAGATCTAAATTTATTTCATCCAGGAGTGAGAACGCTGAAGTAACAATGCAGTTGCTGCGAAAATGAACTGATGAACTGTTTTCAGTGTCTGTGGGAACAGGACAAGCAGCAATGGACTCAAGGAGCAGCAAGGAAGATTCTGTGTTTTTTTAGATGTGAGGTAGGTTCTGACAGTCTGAAAAGTTTATTTAATTAAATAGATGGCATAGAAAGGTTATAGGATCTCCATCCTACAATTCTATAAAAAATAATTATGTGGACTTCAGCTAGGAATGCTTTAGTTGGAACTCAGTCTATCTTAGGTATAGGGTAAAATAGCTGATTTTCCCAAGTCCCTTCCAACACCATTCCACCAACTCCTACAGCAATTCCCTGCTGTCAGGAGCCTACACCACAGGCTCAGGAGCTGACACAACATCAAGAACCTTTTGACAGGTTCCTGTACTTCTGACCAGAACAAAGCACAGCATTCCCAAATACTCGAGATTGTATTTTGCTCTTTGAGGCACATGGTAAAAACTGAATATTTTCCTGTTTGCTGCTACTGCCACAGCAATCAACAAACTGGTTCTAGCAGAATGTGTGTTCCATGAGGTTCCATTTTCTGCTTTCAAATTTTATGATGTATAATACTGTATTCTCCTCCCATCACCACAGTTTGAGGCATCCAGAGTTACAGACAAGAAAGATTCCCACACACCACCCACACCACCCACCCACTTGAAACAACAAATCTTAATGCTCAGGTGCAACCAGCTTCTGTGAGTTTCATAAAATAGATAAGGCTCACTTAACTGTTACTCTGCATGGAACGTAAACCTTATTTTGCCTTCTAAAAATTCGTATTCTGCAACAAGATTCTCACTATTTCCATCAAGTAGGATAAAAGGTATTAGTAAATGAAAATAATTTTTTAAAAGAGATATATATGTGGCTAGGTGAAATAAAGTACTTTCTTGGAGCAGCACAACTCAGTGACTAAAAAACCAAGTGGTGGAAGTGCCAAGTATCTTGTGAAGTCTTTGAAGACCTAAACACAGAAGACTTTTCACAAGTTGGATAACTAAAAAGCTGTCATAAAAAATACTTTGGAAATCAAAAGGAGTAATTACAAATTACATTAAATGTCAGTTCTGGCTTGGCTTTAAACCCTGGCTTGCCTCAGTTTTGCAAAAGGTTTTTACAGACCACAGCGCTGCCCACTCTACAAACTGTATCCCCTAAACCAAGCAGGTCTGAAAAGTAAATCACAGTATGAGTTTGTTGACAAATGAATTTGTAAAAAGAACAGTTTACAGCAGCAGGATCAAAGTCAGAGCCTTTATTAAATGTTCCTTCTCTAAACAGGCTGCATTTAATCCCCCTTTCCCATCTGTGATTTCTAAGGCTATTTTAAATACTTCGTTTTACAGGGATTTTCAGTCTTCAGAACCGTCACAAGCAGCAAGTTAGCAGTACACAAAAACAATACAACTGAACTTTCACTGAGTTCTATTCCTGCTTCCCAGGGTGCGTGGAAAGACCAACAACACTTCCAGTACTGGAGGTTTTGCACAAACCTTGGAAAGGAAATAGCTGTCACCAGAGTTTAAGCCTGATGTGCTCTAGCCACATCTCACAACTGGCCACAGCTGACCAGTACTGGTTAGTATGTCTGTCTCTTGCTCATTATCTGTTTCAAAAAGGGGACCAAATTTTTAATTTTCAGCTAATGTGGGTCTAATTAAGGCTATTCTGGTATATTTGATACTAAAATACTCTCTGGGAGTCCTTTTCCTGAAATCCCGTCAGAATTAACATTTTCAAAAATGAAAACATTTAAAATAGGTGTTCTGAGTTGAAATGCTGATGCAGCGGTTGGTTCAGTGTTCCCGTGTATCACGTCAGGATGGTGTCATCGATCTGTTCCTCGGAGTCAGCCTGCCCAGCCAGCTTCCGCAGCGACCTCCGGCAGCTCTCGTTGAGGAGCTCCAGGCTGGCAGCATCCAAAATCTTGGAAACCGACTGTGGAAGGAAAGCAGCACCAATTACCAGCTCCTTCTGACACAGCACTCAAAGTAAGAATAAGCGTGAGGGCCTTACGAGCTGTATTTAGCTAAAATCTT